TTTATCATTATAATTTTTTTAGCAACAAGGTCTTGCTCTATTGCCCAGGCTGGAGCGCAGCCTCAAACTCCTGGGCTCAAAGGATACTCCTGCCTTAGCCTTGTGAATAGCTGAAACAACAATTGCATAGAACCACGCTCGGCTAATTAAAAAAAATATTTTTTAGACAAGGTCTCACGATGTTTCTCAGGCTGGTCTTGAACTCCTAGCCTCACGCAATTCTCCCATCTCAGCCTTGCCAGTCGCTGGGAGAGAAATCTAATATATTAAGTTTAGAGACATAATTTTAAATGTAGATGTTGAATTAAGTTAGTGAACGGGACAAAAATCATTTGATCTATCAAAAGTGATTGGTAAAATGTGCTAGATTTGTAAATAGAATCATAAAATTGGTTAGCTGAACTTAAAAGCTTAAGATAAAAATCACTTTTGAATTTGTAAGTTTAATAAATTAAACCCTTGGCCATTTTTCTATGGGCTTTTTTTTTTGCTCTAATAGGTTTTCAAGTATCTTACTTTAATAGGTCGAAGGAAGAGTGAATAAATTGAAAATGGCTGAAACAAAAAGCCAGGAGTCAGGCTGCGAAGGGGCTTTTTTGGTATGCTAAGGAACTTGGACCACATCCTGAAGGGAGTAATAGGAAAAGCACACAAAAAAGAGGAACACAATTGCCTTTGCACTTTAGAAAGAACACGCTGGTGACTGTGAGGATCTGGTTGGCAGAAGAGAGACTAGAGGTGACGGTAATCTAAACTGTAATCACAGTGGGGACAGAGACAAAAGCTAGACACCTTAGAATTAACACAGATTGGATGTAGGGTATGAGGCAAGGAGCCTGGGGTGTCCGGACTGGGAATTGAGTGCTGCTATTAATAGAGAATACAGCAGGAGCAGAGTCAGTGCTTGACGCGCGGAATCTGAAGCGTTTGTGGGACACACAGGTGAAAGTGTTTATTAGACAGCCGAAAATATTGAGGGGCTTCCAGGTAGTCTGGTCTGTAGATATATATTTAGGGGTTATCTCGGCAGTTATAGGTGAGGGTAAAGTTACTCAGAGAGGGCAAAGAAAAAAACGGAAGAGAGCTGAGGACAGAATTCCGCTGAATACCAATATTTTAAGGGCAGGTCACAGGTGAAAGGGGAAGAGGTATCCCTAACATGGGCCAAGAGTCCTCTGAAACAGAACTTGCAAAGAACAATGTCAAGGGATCTAAAGGCAGGAAGTTTGGAAAAGCACACGGCTCAAATACTTGGGGAGTTGAGCAGTTCCAATTTGGTGACTGATGCCAGGTTGCCAAACTGCGGAGAGTGGGGTCCTTCATGGCAGTTTGGGTCCTGCTTGTGTCCAACGAGAACACCCTGGACCACCTCAAAGGACTGCCTTCCCTGAGCCTTGGTGCGGAGGAGGTTAGTTCGGCCGGCTCGGGAAGGGAGGAGGCCCAAGATTTTGATCTCGAGCCGCCGACACAGGCAGCCTTTCTGTCAGAGCTGCGGTCGGGGCGGTGGCCGGGGGGCGGGGCTGCCGGCCGGGGCCGACCTTCCCAGCGGAGCGAAGCGAGCGCGAGCCTGATTGGACGGTGGGCCCCGCCTTCTTCCTACCGCCTACAGGGAACAGAGTCAGGCCCGGGGCGGGGCCGGAGTGAGGGGGCGGGGCCTTGCGGTTCTGGCCCCGCCTCCTTCTTCCCGCCCCGGGCGGGGCTGCAAGGGCGGGGCCGGCGGGGGCGGGGCCTGGGCTCGGGCAGCCCGCGCACTTGGCAGGAGCTGCAGCTGCCGCCGCCCGCGCCTCCGAGGTCTCACCGCCTGCTCTGCAGAGACCCGGGCTCCGCCGCCATGTCCGCCGCGGACGAGGTTGACGGGCTGGGCGTGGTCCGGCCGCACTATGGCTGTGAGTGCGGGGCTCGCGGCGTGGGGGATCCGGGGCCGGGCTCGCCGCCAACGAGCCTCGGTTTTCCCGGGGTTCGGGAGGCGGGTGGGGTAGGGCGGCTGCAGGCGGCGCGGACCCGGAAGAGCCGGCCCGGCTGGGTGGCGGGCGGCGAGGTCCCCGGCCCGCGCCCTTTGGGTTCCGAGGCGGCGGAGGGGCCCTCGGAGGCCTCCCCGCCTGAGGCGCGCTGCGGCGGAGCAGCCCCACCCGGCGCCTCCCGCCCAGCCCGGCCGAGATTGGGGAGCCGGCCCGGGGTGAGGTGGCAGAACGGTGCAGGGCGTGTCCCGCGCCGGAGACCGGGCTCCGCGGGCGGTGCTGCCCCGAGTGCTGCCTGCGAGGCAGACGCAGGGTCTGGACCTGCCCGGCCCGAGGCTAGCCGAGAGGTGCGATCCTGGGCGGGTGACGTTAGCTTTCTCCAGCTTAGTTCCCTCGTCAGGATTTCAAAAGCAAAATTAAAAAAATCCTCTGACTTCCTCATTTTCTATGGACGTCCTGGGACATCATTAAACTGCGGGAGGGACTGACCTTTGGGGTTTTGAGGTTTTCAATTTTATATTCTGGGAATAAAGTTCTTTTTTAAAGCATAATTTCACTCATCAACAGTTACATGTGAGGTATTATTGTGCCACGTTTGTGAAATTAGAGATGAGTAAGACCAGGCCCTGCCTTCAAAGAACTGTTTAATCAGGGACAGGTGTACAAGGTAATGGTAATGAGGTGCAATAAAGATAAAAGCTCGCGTGAACTAACTGGCTGTACAGAGTAACGTGGGTAAGGAGCAGGGGTCTGGGGCAGGCAGTATGAACACAGGAGGTGACATTTGGACGGTCTTGAAGGATGCTGTGTAGAGAGGTTTGACAGGGCGGAGCAAGAGACGTGACTTGGAGAGGGAAGAGCACGAACCAGGTATTGAAGAGTAGAGGGGCACTGGGAACCCAGTATGTGGAGTGCACGGTTGGGGGAGGAAGGGCTGGGAGAAGTTTCCAAGAGTAGCCGGGGCCAGCTTGGGCCTTCCCAAGGAGCTAGAAATTTATTCCACACCCTGGGTGCCCGTGAAGGAGGCAGATTGCTTCAAGGTTAAGCTCAAGCTTCGGACACAGGCTATCTGGGTTTGAATCCAGGCCCTGCCACTTAGCTGTGGGGCTGAGCTCACCCAGCTTCAATTTCCTCGCCTGTAAAATAGGAGTGCTAATCAGAGGATTGTTGTGGGTTTCAATGAGAGAACACATGTAAAATGCTTAGTATAATTACTGCCACTTAATTCTCAATAACTGCTGGCTTTGGTTATTAGTAAAAGAGGGGAACAACATGGTCAGATCTGTATTTAGGAATTCTGGCAGAAAGACAAGGACAAATTGGGGCCCAAATCTCAAGTCAGTGTTTTCAAGGTTACACTAAAACTTGGCACATGTTTATATTATACATTTAAAAAATTTTTTCTTCTTGTTTATTGTACATTTTTTAAAAGGGGCACGGTGAGTATAGTTGAAACCCCATAGTTCTTTTTTTAGGCAGGTCATTGTAGTACCCTTGGCTGTCCACACATCCATTGGTTACCCTGAACTTCTAGGTGACTGGCGGGAATGTGATGCTGTGGCATTCTTTTATCACTCAGGAAGGTTACAGATCCTGGTGCTTACATTCTTTCTCTAATGTTTTAGCTGTCCTGGATAATGAGAGACTTACTGCAGAGGAGATGGATGAAAGGAGACGTCAGAATGTGGCTTATGAGTACCTTTGCCATTTGGAAGAAGCAAAGAGGTAAAGATTGGCTGGAGAGAAGATTGGGAGAAGGGGACTAGTCTGATGTATACAGATAAAGATTTCTTTGTGTGTGTTGTACGTGTGACTGTGGGAGGGTGGTAGTTGAGGGAATTAGTATAGGTAGGGTGTTTATTCATGGGAGTAAGTAGCCTTGATGGCAGTTTATCATGAAACACCGATGGGCATTTAAGTGTACTGAAAAATTTCCAGATTTGTGCTGTTCAGTCTTAAGCTTATGGTACATGTTTTGGGCACTAGCAACTGAGGAGGAGAAATAGCATTTTTGGGGTTTGAAGTTTTTGGCTTTAATGTTTTACTAATTCTTCACTGGTTTTGATTTATGTATGGATTGAGTCCCTTCTTCCCGTGATTTATGGAGTCGGTACTTGCTTTGGGAGGCTTAAAAGTGTAGTGCTGTGGGTATAGGTCCACCCGTTTGGCAATATTCAAAGGCAGCATCCTCTGCATGCTTTGTACCTAAACGTAAAGCTACTCTTTTCCTTTTTCAGATGCCACAAGACCTTGTGGTCTTAATTTTAGAGTGTCAGTTAGTTACCAGCAATTCATTTCTTCTGTTCCGGTGCTTGCGTTCCTTCGCAAGGCCCAGGGTGCACAAATGGAATTATGGGTCATGTATTTTCTAAGTGAGCTTGGGAAAGGGCAAGTAAGCGATAATTGTAATCGGAGTTCAATGAAAATCAAGGATGTTTCAAATGGTGCTAATAAACAAAAGTGTGTGTGGTTTTGTTTTTTTTAAATTCTGAAAATCTTAAAACACTACAGGAAAGTCTGGAGAACAATACAACAAACATCCTTATGTCCCAGAACTAACAAGTGTTATCCTTCTGATATTTCTCTTTCCTCTAAATAAATAAATAAACAAACTAACTATCTTAGCTGAATTCGGAGTCTCCTTTGTGCCCCTCCCTGGTCCCATTCTTTTTCCTTTCTGCGGGGCAGCCACTAACCTGCACTTTGTGTGTCCTCTCCCTTTTTGGGCTTAAAGCTCTTCCAGGAAAATGGCTGGGGTTTTAGTGATGGTTTAGGTCGGGAGGACGGTAACTCTCATCTTTCTAAATGGAAGGAAGAGGTGAATATGTCATTAGAAAATGGAGCATTTTCTCATATGAAATGTATATAAGGGAAGAAAAATATTAAGTCCTCTGCCACTTAAATTGTGGATTTCTAGTTTTGGAAGGTCAAAGAATTTGAAAGCTGCAGCAGGTCCGAGATCATCTTGTGCTCTGTGGAGCCTTGGTGATTCTTTTGAGGTGACCTGAGGATGAGAGGGAAGAGCTTCCACACACCTTCCTTTCCCCAGCCAAGCAGTTCTGCCTTCATTTTAATATTGGATTTCCACAGTAAAATTCCCTTTTTACAGATGGCGTCTTGGCTAAGAGCCCCTCCGCCCACTGTTAATCTAGTTTAACTGTCTCATTCAATGAGGAAACTGAGGCCTGAGTTTTCTTGGTCTACTGTAGTTTTCTTTATTGAACAATAGTTTCCATCATTTTATACAGTGGTTCTTAACCAGTTGTGTGCATTAGAATCATCTGGGGGAACTTTAAGAATGTGTAGCTATCTAGGCCTTGCCACAGAGATTCTGGTAACAGGTCTAGGGTGGAGGATCTGGACACCTGTATACAGTAGTCCCTCTGTATCTGCGGGAGACTGGTTCCAGGATGCTCAAGTCCCTTTACATGTAAAATGACATAGTACTTGCATATAACCTACACACGTGATATACTTTAAATCATCTCTATATTACTTACGATGCCTGGTACAATGTGAATGCTATGTAAATAGTGGTTATA